ATACTTAGGATTAAAGTTGTGAATGATAAAAGTTTATGTTTAACTTTCTAAGAACCCCCCAAACTGCTTTCCAAAATGGCTGCACTATTTTGCATTTCCATTTGCACTGTATGAGTTCTAATTTTCCCACATCTTCCCCACCTACTCATCTTAGTGGTGACTTGTGGCATCTCAGTTGTGTTTTTTTTTAATTTTTATTCATTTATTTATTCATGAGAGACACAGAGAGAGAGAGAGAGGCAGAGACACAGGCAGAGGGAGAAGCAGGCTCCATGCAGGGAGCCCGATGTGGGACTTGATCCCAGAACTCCAGGATCAGGCCCTGGGCTGAAGGTGGCACTAAACTGCTGAACCACCCGGGCTGACCTCATTTGTGGTTTTGATTTGATTTCCTAATGGCAAATAATATGGAGGAGCTTTTCATGTAATTATTGGCCATTCACATATCTTCTTTGCTTAAATGTCTATGGAGATATTTTGTCCATTTTTAAAATGGATTGTTTTCTTATTATTGTGTTGCAAGAGTTCCTTGTATTCTGGATACAAAGCCTTAATCAAATATCTGCAAGTACCTTCTCTGTGGTGTATCTTTTCACTTTTTTTCTTTTAAAATTTTTTTTCTTTATTCATGAGAGACACACAGAGAGAGACAGAGACATAGGTCAGGGGTAAAAGCAGGCTCCCTGAGAGGAGCCTGATGTGGGACTCAATCCCAGGACCCTGGGATCATGACCTGAGCCGAAGACAGATGCTCAACCACTGAGCTACCCAAGTGTCCCATCTTTTTCTTTTCTTTTCTTTTCTTTTCTTTTCTTTTCTTTTCTTTTCTTTTCTTTCTTTTCTTTCTTTCTTTCTTTCTTTCTTTCTTTCTTTCTTTCTTTCTTTCTTTCTTTCTTTTTCCTTCCTTCCTTCCTTCCTTCCTTCCTTCCTTCCTTCCTTCCTTCCTTCCTTCCTCTTTCCTCCCTCCCTCCCTCCCTCTCTCTCTCTTTTCTTTCTTTTTTTCTTTTCTTTTTTCTTTTTTCTTTCTTCTTTCTTCTTTCTTCTTTTTTCTTTCATTATATTTATTGGGATCCCTGGGTGGCCCAGGGCGCGATCCTGGAGACCCAGGATCGAGTCCCACGTCGGGCTCCCGGTGCATGCAGCCTGCTTCTCCCTCCGCCTGTGTCTCTGCCTCTCTCTCTCTCTCTCTCTCTGTGTGTGTGACTATCATAAAAAAAAAGATTATATTTATTAATTCATGAGAGATACAGATAGAAACAGAGGCACAGGCAGGGGGAGAAGCAGGCTCCATGCCAGGAGCCCAATGTGGGACTTGATCCTGGGACTCCAGGATCACATCCTGGACCAAAGGCAGGTGCCAAACCGCTGAGCCACCCAGGGATCCCCTCTTTTTACTTTCTTAATGGTGTCTTTTTAAGCACAAATATTTTTAATTTTGATAATGTTCAACCTATCAAATTTTTTATTACTTGTGCTTTTTTGGTCATTTATGAAAGTCATGAGAATTTTCTACATTTCTTCTAAGAGTCTTATAATTTTAGCTCTTACGATTAGATGAATGATTCATTTGGAGTTAAACTTTGAGTGTGATGGGAGGTAAGGGTTTGAATATATCTTTTTTGCATGTGGATATCCAATTGTCCCAGCACCATTCATTGAAAAGACTACCCTTTCCCTATTGAACTGCCTTGGCACCTTTGTTGAAAATCAATTGAGCATAAGTGTAAGAGTCTTTAATATGTAAATATATGTTGTGAATCTCCAACAGGGAGGATATAAAATGTTTCCCAAAATGTTTTTAACAAGGATCCTACCACCTGCCCCCACTCCTTTAAACACAGGCTTTCACACAGGTTCTTACTGCTGTCCACAGAATAGACTTCAGGGAATGCTTCTCTAAGGTGCTCAGGACTCTAACTTTCACTTGCAAAGTTATTGCTTGTTTTTAGAGGCTGAGAGGCTGAGGGTTAATTTGAAGCTGCAAAACCAAAGACATAATTTCTAGTAACATGCTTACAGTTAAGTACAGTAAGGCATCTCACTATGTAGAAATGTATGGAAAGGCTGTAGAAAACACTTGTTACTGAATTAGGCCCATATTTCACACATTGATAGTAATAAAAGGGAGTTTTATAGGCATAATGCATGAAACTTTGGAAGTATGAGAATTCTGCAATTGTGTGTTTAAATTTTTAGGGCAATGTATCTTGCTTGATCATGACATCTCACAGGTCATGTATTAAGGTGTTAAAGAAGATCGATTTGTATGCACCTTAGCATATATATACACATACATGATACACACATTCATATATACACACACTTTAGAGATATATTTTTCCCTTAAAAAAACAGATTTTATCTTAATGTTCTTTAACCTATGTAATGTAAAATGTTGGATAAATGTTGAACCTCGGTGGCTCAGTCAGTTATGTGTCTGACTTCAGCTCAGGTCATGATCTCCAGGTCTTGGGATCCAGCCCAGCATGAAATTGGGCTCCGCGCTCAGCGGGGAGTCTGCTTATCCTCCTCTCTCTGCCCCTCCCCCTGCTTTCTCTCAAATAAATAAATAAATAAAATCTTTAAAAAAATATCAGATAAGGGCAGCCCGGGTGGCTCAGTGGTTTAGCGCTGCCTTCAGCCCAGGGCCTGATCCTGGAGACCTGGGATAGAGTCCCACATAGGGCTCCCTGCAAGGAGCCTGCTTCTTCCTCTGCCTGTGTCTCCGCCTCACTTTCTGTCTCTCATGAAAAAATAAATAAAATCTTAAAAAAAGTCAGATAATTGCTTAAGTAACCTCCTTAAAATGACAATACTATCTTTGTCATTGTATTACTACAACAAAAACAAACCTTTAGTACAAAAATAAGAAGGGAAATTAAAAATAGTATCTTTTAATCACTTTGTATATATCTGCGGGACAAGAAAAATACAGAAAAGGTCAAAGATGGGAGAAAAAAACATGCAAACATTTTGATGGAGGAGAATGTCATCATAAATCTAGAAAAGCAGACCGGAAGAGCTTTGTCTGTGCTTTGCTTCCAGAGCCTGGTGGATGTCGTGGACCTACTGACAGGTGATCCCAGTGAATGCCTGAGGTTCTGGAATCCTCAGAAAAAGACAGTATAAGCCAACATACAGGTTTCTACCAACTCATGCTGAAGTGCATTCAATGACTTTAAACTGATATGTAGATTTTCTAACTATGCCTCCTTCTGCTAGTGATTTCCTGGTTCTTTTAAAGAGCTTGATGCTCTGTTCCTGAATATTTAAGATGTATCTTCCTTTCTACAGGAGTTTCCAAACAGAACAACAGCATCTGTTTCTTTTGGATATTCTGTTATTCTATTCAATTATTATTCTATTATTAACATTTATAGAAATTATCTTTCCTTGTAGAATTTAGCCATATTTAGGGCAGCATTCAGAACATGAAGTACCTCCTCCCTCCCTTTGCCAGGGTTTGTGTGCTCTCTAGTTTTGGGGCTTAATAGCCTTCATCCATCTTTTTTTAAGGTTTTATTTATTCATGAGAGACAGAGACACAGAGAGAGAGAGGCCGAAGGAGAAGCAGGCTCCTGGCAGGGAGCTCCATGTGGGACTCCATCCTGGGACTCCGGGATCATGCCCTGGGGAAGGCAGCCCCTCAACTGCTGAGCCACGCAGGCATCCCCCCCCCCCTTTACTTTTTAAGTAACGCCAGCGTTCATCATTTAAATCTCTCTCTTTTTTTTTAGGATTTTTAAAATTTATTTATGATAGTCACACACACACACAGAGAGAGAGACAGAGACACAGGCAGAGGGAGAAGCAGGCTCCATGCACCAGGAGCCCGACGTGGGATTCGATCCCGGGTCTCCAGGATCGCGCCAAACCGCTCCACCCAGGGATCTCTCTCTCTCTCTCTCTCTCTCTAAAAGATTTTACTTACTTACGAGAGCCACACAGTGAGAGGCAGACACACAGGCAGAGGGGGACAAGGGGAGCACCGCGGGGAGCCCGATGCAGGACTCGATCCCAGGACCCCGGGATCACGCCCTGAACCAAAGGCAGACGCTCAACCACTGGGCCCCCCAGGCTCCCCGAAATCTCAAATCTTTTTCGCAAATACCTGTTAGTCATTTAGCGACTAATGTAGGAAAACCTAACTAGTATTTTATTCTTTTATTTGTTCCCTGAAGCCACGTTGGATCTCTGCTCAGTATGTATGTATGTATTTTCTTTGCTCAGAATTTATTTATTTATTTATTTGTTTGTTTATTTTCTTTGCTCAGTATTTCTTATTTATTTTCTTTGCTCAGCATTTCTTATTTATTTGCTCAGTAATTCTTATATATTTATTTTCTTTGCTCAGTACTTATTTTATTTATCTTCTTTGCTCAGTAATTCTTATATATTTATTTTCTTTGCTCAGTATTTCTTATTTATTTTATTAATTATTAAATATTTATTCTTTTTTTCTTATAATTTTTTCTTTGCTCAGTATTTATTTTCTTTGCTCAGTATTTATTTTCTTTGCTCAGCATTTCTTATTTATTCGTTTATTTTCTTTGCTCAGTAATTCTTATATATTTATTTTCTTTGCTCAGTATTTAATTATTAAATATTTATTATTTATTTCTTATAATTTTTTTCTTTGCTCAGTATTTATTTTCTTTGCTCAGTATTTACTTATTTATTTTCTTTGCTCAGCATTTCTTATTTATTCATTTATTTTCTTTGCTCAGTAATTCTTATATATTTTCTTTGCTCAGTATTTCTTATTTATTTTATTTATTATTAAATATTTATTATTATTTATTTCTTCTTATTTTTTCTTAGCTCAGTATTTCAAGATTTTTTTTTCTTTTCCCCCCTTGATACTTGGAAACTTCCAGGCTACTGCCCCCCGCCCCCCAAGGAGGCCATCTACAGATTCTGTGTTCAGCTGTTTTCTCCCCGGCCTGGGGGTGGGGTGGGGGGCGCTCGCGTCTTTGCCTCCCGGGCTCCGCGGCGCTTACCTGCGAGGCCCGGCCGTCGACGGGGACGCGCGGCGCGAGGACCGCACCAAGGAAACCCTGCGCGCCCTGCCCTCCGTGACCTTCCCGACCCGGCGCGCGGCGGGCGGGTGCTGATGACGTCACGGCCCCTCGCCGCGGCCCGCCGGACGGCTGGGTGCTTACGTCCAGGGCCTCGCGCTGTGCGTGCGTCGTGGCTGCCGAAGGAGGCGTTTTCGCGCCGAAAGACGGGCGTCCGCGGTTTGTTCTTGAGGGAAACCGCTCTTCAGCCCGCCCCCCCCCCTCCTCCGCCGTCTGCCAACAGAAAATAGAACTTCCATCCGCGCAGCTGGACGGCTTCAGGAGTAGAAGCCCAAGGCCGAGGAGAGCCTGGTGCCAGCCGCAAGCCCCTGCCCTGCCGCCGGGACCGAGGGACGGGAATTCACTGCTCTTTCTCAAGAGGCTCAAAGTCTGGGAGATCTTCCCACCCCGAAGTAAGCTGCCCTAGACTGGATGGAGAGAGCGGCCTCCCGGGAATGAACCCCGGGACCCCCGCCCCCTATAGGGGCAGGAGAATTTGGATGCGACGGGAAGAGGAATCCACTCAGTGATGGGGATTCTTCTGCCCTCGACCTGGATGACATTCTTAGGAGCAGGAAGCATTGAAAATGGCTGTGTTTGTAGTCGTGAATAAACCAGGTATCGTAGGATGCTCGCGGTTCTCCTTCTGCAGTGTTGGCGCAATCCTTGCCACGTCAGTCACTCCTCGCGTTATCTTTACAAAGCTCTGATGTAAAGAACTCTTTACCCTGTTTTGTTATAGATAAATATCTGGGCCGGCGAAACTCCCACATCACCGTCAGTAACCAGTAGGGCTGTTTCCAGCCTGTTGACTTCAGGGCTACATTTTGCACCAGCCAAGGCAAATACAGTCCACGAATGACGACGTGGATAGAAAATGAACTCTCCCCCCCAAAAAAAGTCTGTAAATTCCAGTAAATTGACAATATATTCCTACTTAATTACTAGCACTCTTCCCATCTCCGTTCCTTCTATTTACTTTGCAGAGAGAAAAGCCCTTTGAACCCAAACATTCATCAACCCCAGTCCCAGACCAGTCGCAGAAGAGGCCAAAGGGAACCCAATCTCTTCAGCATCTACTTGTAGCATAAGTAGAATTGCAGGGAGTAACCCACTCAGGAGCAGTTCAGCAGAATTGGCAGTTTTCCCCACACAGTGCAAAGATTTAACTCAAAAAACATCTTCACGGGGATCCCTGGGTGGCTCAGTGGTTGAGCACCTGCCTTTGGTCCAGGGCGTGACCCTGGAGACCCAGGATCGAGTCCCACATCGGGCTCCCTGTGTGGAGCCTGCTTCTCCCTCTGCCTGTGTCTCTCCCTCTCTCTCTCTCTCTCTCTCTCTGTGTGTGTGTGTGTCTCTAATAAATAAATAAAATCTTTTTTTAATTTTTTATTTATTATTTATGATAGTCACACACAGAGAGAGAGAGAGGCAGAGACACAGGCAGAGGGAGAAGCAGGCTCCATGCACCGGGAGCCCGACGTGGGATTCGATCCCGGGTCTCCAGGATCGCTCCCTGGGCCAAAGGCAGGCGCCAAACCGCTGCGCCATCCAGGGATCCCCCAATAAATAAAATCTTAAAAAAAAAAAAAACAAACTTCATACAGGCATTCAAAATGGAAGTACAGTCTATTTACCAAATTAAATGTGAGTGATTTTTAAATTGTTCATACAACTGCTTCCCCCCTGTAGATTCTTTTTAATTACCTTAAATAAATGTGTACATTTTGAGTAGGTAAAAAGGAGGAAAGAAGAGGTGGGAGAGGAGGGAGGAGGGAGAGGAGAGGAGATTAAAGAAGAAAAGGTTCCCATGCTAGGTTAAACTGTATTCTTTATTTGCTTAGATATATTTGGGATGGAGGAAAAATCTATTCATATATAACCAACATTGATACTTCTTCTGAATTATAGTCTTTTTTTTTTAATTTTCAGAAGTATGGAGAGAAATGTCCTTACTGATCAGAAAATGAATTTTAGTATCTTGGAAAGTAGAGAATGCGAGAGCATCTACAAGGTGAGGTTCATGGCTGTATAATTTGGATTTCAGAGTGGTGTTTGAAAGGCTAGTAGTATATATATATATATATATATATATATATATATATATATATATATATATCACTTTATAATCACTTAGCACCCGTCTGAACCAGCTCTATGACCTCAGCGTTGCACTGCTTTGGGGATATCATGCTATTTATACAAGGAAACTAAAAGTTTATTCCAAAGGATAGTAGATAGGTTTTGAATCTTCAAAGTACTTGTTCTGCATAGAAACTAAAAGGAACTCTCTTGTTTGAGAAACTGTGGTGAGTTAAATATGTCTGCAAATTCTTTATCACCACCTCCCTGACCTCAGAGGTGGAATATACTTCTCCTCCTTTTGATTACTGGCTGGCTCTAGAAGAGCCAGAATTAATAGAAGATGGCACAAAGATGGAATGCCAGCTGTAGGCTTAAGCCTTAAGAAGGCCTGAGGTTTCCATTTTCTCTCTTTTGGGAGCCCCAAACTACCACACATGAGCCCTGCATGGAGAGTGAGGATGCTCAGCCTGCTGGCCTCTGGGGTGGGGGAGTAAGTGTGGGGATAGGAGATGGGGGGTAAGGGATGATGGGGTGGCTCGATGCCTCCAGCTGCAGCCATCCTTTGGAAAACACCAAGGGAGGCCAGTAGAACTGCTGGTTGAGCTGTCAACCCACAGAAGCTAGAAAGCAAATAAAGTGGTTGTCATTTTAAGCCACTAAGTTTGGAGTAATTTGTTCCGTAGCAAAAAATAACTGAAATAGAAAGCAAGCCATTCACTGTCACCTATGACTCTTGCTTAACAGGGGATGGCTTTGTTGGACGGACAGCTAAACATGCTTCTGTAGATTGGGTTTTGAGGATTTACTGTGAGTATCAGAGGGCACAGGCAGGGGTTCTTGTGGTTAGGGAGGATGGGGAGATGGGGTCAGAAAAGACGATGCAGAGGCGATCATGTGACTCTTGATTTCAGGGTTGTAAGTTCGACCCCCACATTGGGTGTAGGGATTACTTTAAAAAATAATAAAATCTTTTAAGAAAAAGAAAAGGTAATGCAGAAAATTGAGTGGGCAGAAGAGGGCAAGGGTTGACCTTCTGAGCCTGGGATGTTGGCAGCAGACAAGAGGAACTAAATAAATTCTGTGAATGAAACCAATGATTCTGGGCATCTGGGAGGCTCAGTGGTTGAGCATCTACCTTCGGCTCAGGTCATGATCCCGGGGTCCTGGGATCGAGTTCCGCATCAGGCTCCCCACAGGGAATGTGCTTTTCCCTCTGCCTATGTTTCTGTATCTCGCATGAGTAAATAAATAAAATCTTTTAAAAAAAGAAACCAATGATTCAAAGGCAGAGTGTTGACCAGGGGGTGTGGGGGTGTGTGTAGAATTAAATGCATAGGGGAATCCCTGGGTGGCTCAGCGGTTTGGCGCCTGCCTTTGGCCCAGGGCGCGATCCTGGAGTCCCGGGATCGAGTCCCACGTCGGGCTCCCGGCATGGAGCCTGCTTCCCTCTGCCTCTCTCTCTCTCTCACTCTCTCTGTGTCTTTAAAAAAATAAATGCATAATTATTCAAATAAAAATGTTTATTCATATGCCACATGAAATGATCTACCTTTCTATGCTTTCGGAAATGCTGCCTGAAATAGCATCCTTTTTATTGCATTATGGCTCCTTCTGAAGAAGTCCTTAGGAGAAAGTAAGTACATAGGTATTTTTCCATTTTAAATTTTTTTTTTTAATTTATTTATTTATGATAGAGAGAGAGAGAGACAGAGAGAGGCAGAGACACAGGCAGAGGGAGAAGCAGGCTCCATGCACCAGGAGCCCGACGTGGGATTCGATCCCGGGTCTCCAGGATCGCGCCCTGGGCCAAAGGCAGGCGCCAAACCGCTGCGCCACCCAGGGATCCCTATTTTTCCATTTTAAAAAACTGACATTTGTTTTCTTACATAAATCTTTCTTCATCACTTTATGTGGCAGTCATACTTAACACCATTAATGCAATTAGACACACAGAAACACAACACACAAGCACACATTCTTAGATGATTTTTTAAATTGGCAAACATGAAGAAAAATTTTCAGTTCTTAAAATTGAGTATTTGATATCAATTTTGGCATTTTGGGGGGAAATACATTTATTCATATTGTCATATAAACAGAACTACATAATTTAAAAATTTCATATCATTTTTTATTTGCAAAATTGTTTTAGCATTTATTAAGTTGAGATTTCACCGTTACCCTTTGTAATTAATTAATTATTTTATTGATTTATTCATGAGTGCCACAGAGAGAGGCAGAGACATGGGCAGAGGGAGAAACAGGCTTCCTATAGGGAGGACTTCCAAAGCAGGACTCGATCCCAGGACCCCGGGATTATGACCTGAGTCAAAGGCTGTTGCTCAACCACTGAGCCACGCAGGTGACCATTATTCTTTTTAAAAAGAATCAAAATGAGGGTATGTTCATTGGATAAAATAAAGCATCTCTTGATTTCAGAAAATTACATTTCTGTCAACCTATTGAAACCTTGTGGTATGATCTCATGAGCATATTGTTTTGCCTGAGACCCATTTCTTTGAATCCCAGTGTCTTCATTTATTTTATTTTATTCTTTAAAGATTTTTATTTATTTATTTATTTGAGAGACCCAGAGAGAGAGAGAGGCAGAGACGCAGGCAGAGGGAGAAGCAGGCCCCATGCAGGGAGCCCGACGTGGGACTAGATCCCAGGTCCCCAGGATCATGCCCTGGGCTGAAGGTAGGCGCTAGACCGCTGAGCCATTCAGGGATCCCCCAGTGTCTTCATTTATCAAGTGGGTATTTACCTGCTCCAGACCAGGATCATTGCCACGAGTTAATGAGCTTCATAAGCTGCAGAAAAGAATAGCTTGCTTGTGTCTTAAAGATTAAATATGTAGAATTTTATTTCATGATTTTAAAAACAGTTTATTGTTGAGATTGTTTCTTCCTTTACACAGTGGTTACAAGAGCATTTCCTCAAAATTCTTAA